CTTCCCTGTAGGCGCATGGATATTATCCTATCACAGACAGCATTGTACCTCATGACTGATCTGGATATGCTCTTTTTGACGATGAATGCAACACCATTCCTCTTCAGTTTGTCATTCCCGGCATAGTAAACCATGTGGTTATCTGATTCAAAAAAGTCAATACCAGTCCATTTCAACTCACTAATGCCTAAGATATCAATGTTTATGCATTCCATTTCATTTTTGACAACTTCCAATTTCCCCAGATTCATATTTAGATCATTCCATGTTCCAATTTTCATTGGATGTTTACAGCTGTTTCTCTTCATTTTGAGTTGTGCCCTATCAGCAAATGAAAGTCCTGTGGGTTTTTCTCCCACGAGCTTTACTCCATTTGCTTTATTGCAGTCAGCTCTACTTTGAGGAGGCAGCTCTTCCTCAGTCACATCTTGGTGCCTTCGAACCTGAGGGGCTTATTTTCCGGCACTATATCTGACAGTGTTTCTGTGCTCTTCATAAATTTTCAGTGACTAAATTTTTGGAAGTAGTTCATCACTCTTTCTTCCTAGTCTGTCTGTCTGGAAGCTCATCTGAAACCTGTCCACCATGGGTGACCCTGCTGGTATTTAAAATACTGGTGGCATAGCTTCCAGAATCACAGCAACTCACAAGCAACCACAGTACGATAAACTGTGCGCCTCCATTCTGGTGATTAGAGGGGATGCCTGAACGAATGGACTCCCCACCCCCACCCCTGGAGGGTTCTACTACGCATGCGCACAGATCTCCTTGAAATTTAAAGTGACAGTTTCCACTTAAAACCAAATGGCCACCACTCATCTGTCAGTTTGTAAATCTTTACAGGAGCAGAAAGTCTCATCTTTCTCCCACAAAACCGTTGGTGGTTTCAAACTGCTGACCTTGAGGTTAACAGCCTGACCTGTGACCACTATGCCACCAGAGCTCCTTATAGGTGAGGCATAATAGTAAATTTGTTGTTGCTGTTAAGTGCCCTCCAGTTGTTTCTTACTTGTAGTGACCCTGTATGGGTTTTCCAAGGCTAATGTAAATCTTTGTGTGCAGAAAGCTTCATCTTTCTCCCATGGAGTAGCTGGTGGGTTCAAACTGCCACTCTTGTGATTTGAAATCCAGTGCTTATCCTATAGAGCAACTGTGCTCTCATAGTAGTGAACGTTGTTACGTTGTTAAATGCCATAGAGTTGGTTTCAACTCAGTGTTCCTAGTGCTCAGGGTTTCCAAGGAGCAGCCTGGTGAGTTTGAATTACCAACTTTGTGGTTCAGACTGACTGCAGTCCAGTACTTTATCCCACAGTGCCACACCAGGACAAAACCCAAAACAAACCCAGTGTTGTCAAGTTGATTATGACTCATATGACCCGATAGGAAAGAGTAGAACTCTAGGGTTTCTTAGGCTATAAATCATTATGGAAGCAGATTGCCTCATCTTTCTCCTTAGGAGCATCAGAGGGGTTCAAACAGCCAACCTTTTGGTTAGTCAAAAACCCAAGACTCCTTGTAGTTTACTACAGTGGTGTGCAAAGTACATCTATGGGCCTCCATAAAGGTGACAGCTTTTAGCAACCCTATGGGGCCATTGTGTTCTATTACACGCGGCTGCTATGAGTCAGAATCAACTCCACAGTTACCCAGCAACAACCATCCTAACATAGAAAGGGTTTTAGTGTGTTTTTTTCTTTCTATGTTTTTGCATGATTCTTTGCTTCTTTTTTCTTTGTATTTTTTGGTTTTAAAAGCATAGAAATTGCTCACCTACCATAAATAGAAAGAACCTGTTTAGTGAGAAAAACACTGGGAAAATGATATCAAACAACTTTCCAGATGGCAATTTAAATAATAATTAACAATTTCATTCGCTTCAGAAATTCCTCATCGGATTGCATTTTTGTGGCATGATTTCTTTTTCCTCTTTCCTTGCAGCCATGCCTTTCTTGGATGTGCAGAAAAGGCTGGGCCTTAATGTAGACCGCTGGCTGACAGTCCAGAGTGCTGAACAGCCACACAGGCTTCCAGCTCGCTGCCATGCTTTTGAAAAAGAGTGGATAGAATGTGCTCATGGAATTGGTGGTATCCGGGCAGAGAAAGAGTGCAAGATAGAGTTTGATGATTTTTCAGAATGTTTGCTTCGTCAGAAAACGGTGAGAAAATAATGGAGGTGGAAGCTGGATTGTTTCTTTGGGGCTATTTTTAAGTGTTTTTAATGGGTTGTTGGGTCGTGGCTTGCCCATTATGAACTGGCAGAATTTTTGTGGTAAAATCCCTTCTCTACTTATGTACCATAACAAGGAAGTTCAATGTCTTCAGATGGGAGGAGACCTTTCTTCCTCAGTCTCCCTCATCCTCACCTCCTCCCATATTCTACTCAGTGTTGTGTCTTGCTGTGGCCCTCAGGTTAAAAAATATAGAACAAAGAATATCAACCAGCCTTGGATATTTGTCCTTGAAAGTCCTTGGGTGACAATATTTCAAATTCATTCTCAGATCTACTAGATTGAATGTCATGTAACCATCCTGGGATTCATTTCTAATCTGGGGAGGTGGAGGTACGAATTTGATTCCTTTAGGGGAATCTGACCAGAGATGTAGAAAGAAAATGGATATTAACAGTATGACATCAACCTTCACTAGAGTTGAATGGGGAGCATAACTTCCTTGGAGAAGAAACCCTAGATGGTGTGAATGTCGTTTGTGCTCCAGATAAAAAAATAGAAATATTTATTTTAGAGACTCAGGTATTGTTGCTGGTTTTACTACAACTAGTTTTGTAACTTTGGGCAAGTCACTTTCCCTTCTTGGTCTTGGTGTCTGTTTCTAGAACAATTAAAGAGTTGCTTTTAAGATCACTTACCCAGTAAATTCATGTATAGACAAATTACTTTTATAGAGATTACCCTAAATGATTAGATACCTTACCCTAGAGGAAGGAAACTGGTGAGTATGATTTTGGAATCATTTTGTGTTTTATTTTAGTTTGTTGTCCTGGTGTGGCACTGTGGGTTAATGCGTCAGACTGCAAATCTGTTTGAACAGCAAGGTCGGTGGTTCAAGCACACCAGCTGCTCCTGGGAAACCCTGTACAGGGTTGCTATGGGTCGGAACCGACTCGATGGCACTTAGCAGCAACATATTCCTAGATGCTTCTTGATTATTCCTGGAAAATACAGTGTGTTGCCTAACCTTTTCCATAAGCTTGTGCTCTTAGGTGCAGTTCTTTGAACCTGCCAAGGATAAAGTGTAATTTAGTTAACTATTTATTCAATGATGTTCTAAGTACTTAAGATATAATAATGCATGTACTTCTCACAAGTCTTGTGAGATGAGTTGCTGTTATTTTCCCACTTATTGAAAACCTGAGGCAAAGAAAAGTTACGGACATTGTCTAAAACCAGATAGCTGGTGGTGGAACTGAGATTGAACCTGGCTACAGGGCCTTTGCTTTTATCCACAGTATTAAGTGGCTGCTAGTGCTGGTGGTGTGTGGATTAAGTGTTAGACTGCTAACTGCAAAGTTGGCAGCTCAAACTCACCAGCTTCTCTGCCGGAGACAGAAGGCAGTCTGCTCCAGTGAAGATTTATTGTCTTGGAAACCCTAGAGGTTTGTTGTTTTTCATGTTGTAGTTAGTGCTAGCTTAGAGAAATATTGTACTTCTGGTATTGTCATAGCTCAACCATGACTGAGCCTCTGTAGAGAGACTTTTTAAATTAAGAAATGTTAATAATGCAGTATAAAAATTATTTATTGGTATACTTAGGGAATCCTGGTGTGGTGCTGTAGGATAAGCACTGGACTGCAAGGTCGGTTTGGACCACAAGGTTGGCAGTTCAAATCCACCAGCTGTTCCTCGGAAATCCTATACAGGGTTACTATGAGTCGGAACCAACTCTACGGCACTTAACAACAAAAACATTATGTCAGGAACTTTTCTAGACACTGGAAATATAATTGCAATAAAGCAAAACAGCAAAAAGTCCTATCTCTCGTGGAGTTTATATTCTAGTTGGGAGCGGGGAGCAGAGAACAGAAAATTAACAAATAAGTAAAACAGAGCGTGTCAGGGGATAAGTGTGATAGGGAAGATAAACAGAAGAGGAGGGTGGAATGTGCTGGGATTGGACACTAAGTGAATACTTGAAAGTGGGGTGGTCAGAGAAGAGCGTGGGAACAGGAGACGCTGGAACAGGACTTAAAGCAAATGTGCCTCTTCTACGACTACGGGGGAGTATGTACCAGGCAGAGGAAACAGCAAGTGCAAAAAAGTCCCTGAGCTGGAGCACAGAGAGTTTGGGGAAGGATTGTTGTTGTTAAGTACCATTGAGTCGATTCCAACTCAGAGCGACCTTATACAAGCTTTCCAAGGAGCAGCTGGTGGGTTTGAACTGCTGACATTGTGGTTTACAGCCCAGTGCTTATCCTACAGCACCACACCAGGAGTCCTAGGGAAGGGTGTTAGAGCTAAAGTCATAAAGGTAGGTCTTGTAGGCCAGAATAAGGATTCTGTTTTATCTCTTGTTGTTGTTGTTGTTAAGTGCCATCGAGTCGGTTCCGACCCATAGCAACCCTGTACAGGGTTTCCGAGGGTGTAAATCTTTACGGGAGTAGAAAGCCTCATCTTTCTCCCGCGGAGCGGCTGGTAGTTTCGAACTGCTGACCTTAAGGTTCGCAGCCCGATTCATAACCACTACGCTACCAGAGCTCCTTAGTGAGACAAAAAGCCATTGGAAGGTTGTGATCAATGGGATAATAGGATTGGGACTGTTGTTGTAAAGTGCTGTCAAGTCAGTTCTGACTCACAGCAACACGGTATAGAGTTTCCAAAAAGTGGCAAGTAGGTTTGATCCTGACTTTGAAGTTAGCAGTCCACTGCTTATCCTACAGTGTCACACCAGTACTCCACCAGGATTATTGTTGTTAAGTGCCATCGAGTCAATTCCAACTCATAATCACCCAGTGTAGGGTTTCCGAGTTTAAATTGCCAACCTTGCATTGTAGTCCAGTGCATTATCCTGCAGCACCACACCAGGATTCCACTAGAATCAGTAACTCGGTTTTCACGGAATCCAGGGACCAGTTAATTGTTCATTGTTGTGGCTTTCACACATTCATATTTCGTGTGGCTTTGATTTGTTGGGAATAGTCAGAGCCCAGGGCTCAACTGACCGGTGGTTGAGCCAATATCAGGACTTTGCTTCAGTGTGGTAAAAGGCTTCATGTTGGCTCTTTCAGCTTCCCTCATACCAGTAAACAGTCACCAGAAGCAATGTGACCTTCCCATAGAGAGGTCAGGATATGCAAATGGTGCTGTGATCATAGCTTTTAATAGATGTAAACATTTTGGTATGCATAGCTATGCCTCATAAAGTCTTCATATTTTATTTTTTGTTATTGTGTGTATAAATACTTATATTCCTATATGTAATCAGAACATTTTAGATAATTAGTTTTCAAGAAGGTGCTATGAATATATCCTGATTAGGAAGTGACTTCAAGTTCTTTAAAGATGGGCTTCCTCTCAGAGACGCTCTAGGATGAAAAGCCTTTTATAATGGTTTAAAGATAAAACCAGCTCAGTTTCTCCAGCCCTAACTTCCCACCCAAAGTCACATGCTTTTCTCCTTTGATAGATGAAACGCATGGCCACCATCAAGCAGCAGCGGGACAAGCTGATAAAGGAAGGGAAGTACACGCCTCCACCTCACCACACTGGCAAGGGGGAGCCCCGGCCGTGAGCCAAGCAGCTGCTGATGGCTGGAGGCTGATTCTCATGTTCTGTCTTCTCCACTGGAAAGATGGTGTACTGAAAATTTTATGAAAGTAGTTAAAAATAAAAGATACTTCATTCTATCCATTTGTTCTGTATTCTCTTGGATTGTACACTTTACTATAATGAGATTGCCTCCTTTTTTTTTTTTTTTTTAAGTTTGGAAAAATGCCTCTACCTATGCCTTAAAAAAAACAACACAGAGAGAACAAACAAGATGGCGGATCGGGTGGATGTATAGCAGAGAGCACTGCCAAAAACAACACAGAATACCTGACCAAGCAGGCTCAGGGGCTGGTCCCAGAACTCTGAACCGCATATAAAGGAATACTTAGAAGGTTGG